GTTTTGCTGGCTAAAACAACGCCTTCATTGCAGGGTCAACAGACTCCACACTGTCCACCATATTGCTCACCTGTACATTTACATATGTAACTTCTTAGTGCTAGTAGCGGAAAAAGTGTTATCGTAATATCTCTGTTTACAATGCTCACTTACCCCAAGATTCACTGGTGTATCCTCCAAAAATATATCTCCCCACCCTTATTATTGTTACTGTCGGGCCCATGCCGTCACATCGGGAGTGAAATGTTCTTGCGGCCCAGCCGTCCACGGATGCACGCCAACAGTGTTTCCAGAAAGGATTGACGCTTTTTGCCACAGGTTTAAGCCAGTTAAATAACAAGGTCAAGTGGTTTATGTTGCTTCCCACAATAGCAGAGTCTTGTAATCCTGAAAAGAAGGTCGATTGCAATAACTATGGTGCAAGAATGAATCTGATATGGTGTCAGAATAACCCAACACATTTTGCGCAAGACAAATACGATGTTGGACGAAAACTTTTATCGTTTTACGGGGCGTGAAAGAGCGTAATCACGCTTCGCCCATTCTCGGACTCCCGGTAGTCGCTGCTAAGAGGTTCTCCTTAACAGGAGTTAAAAGTTAGCCTTAAAACAGCCAAAGATTTTGGTCTTTTGGTGTAAATTTTAGCCGTTAGTCGTAAAAACAGTTAACATTAAGAAATTTATTCAATCAAAATAATTGTCTCAGTTACTGTCGGCGCAACGCGGGAAGCATTGATACCATTAATTCCCTCGAGTCGTAGACCTCCTTGGACGCAATCCCTTGATTTGTATATAAAAAATATAAAAATAGAAAATATTTGTATATGTTAACGACAAACACAGATTTGACAGATCGGCAGCGATTGAAAATCTGTCAAATTGATATACGTAAGCGATCTAGCAAGACTGGAAAACAGTCTTCAGTTTACTCTATAGAAGAGTACGTGCCTGAAAACCCTGCCGTATGGAAGACATATAGTTTGGACAGGTTAGAAACATTTTTCAGAAAAGTTTAACTCCTATTAGTTTTCATTCAAAATGTAAGTCTCTTATGTTGTTAAAATGTCTCTTATGTACCTCGTCCGTTTATACAGTTAAATCCATTTCCCGCGTAGCCATGGTTACAGGTGCACTTAAACGAACCCCACAGATTTGTACAATAAGCCTTTGGATGACAGATCTTGCTGCCACTGCACTCATTCAGGTCTGTTAAAGCACAAACAAGAAAACAAAAAAAAATTCAAGAAAAAAAAATAAGGTGTAAAGCAATATTTGATTCTTATTACCAAGGTAATCATGGCAAACGCTTCAAGAGAACTAAAATCATGGAGAAAGACAGGGAAAGAATAAGAGCGGTGGATGTGTTATCTGATACCGAGACAGGGAGACGTAGTTCAAAAAAAGAGTACAGCTTAGTTTTTATTAGTATTCACCAATTCAGTGGATAGCAATTTTCGAGCGTTCTGATTGTCTTTCGTAACTCGGATTATCCTTGGATATTCACTGTTTTGGGACAGGATTCTGCTTCTCGTTTCGCAAGAGTTTCGAAAGATGAAATTCTAGCGGTAAATGAAGCAGCTGCACCAACAAATACCAAGAAAGAGAAAAAATTTGGTTTGTCGGTGTTTACCGGTCAGTAGAAAAGAATTTTCTTACTGAATTTGGAACAAAATCATAACAAATGATCCTTGAAACACTGTCAATTGAAACGTAAACAAACTCTAACTAAGCGACATCTTTTATTTACAAAAAAGCTCCTTTTCAATTTTTATCCAACTGATTTTGTATGTTAATACTAAAACAACTAACCCCTCAGGGTCGGTTCATAGCGCTCGATATATACCCCGACGCTTCGCGTCTCGGTATTATAGTCACCACTATTCACCTCCCCTTTGGAGGATAGTTGTATAATAGACGGACTTTGATGTATCAAGGGTCTATAACCGGGTTCCTAGCCTGTTTGGAGACGTTTTCCTACTCAGATTTGGTGAAAGCGAGAGCGAGCGTGAAGTGCAGAAAATAGAGGGTCTTGTGAACAGGCTAGCCTGTTTCAGGTGTTTAGTTAGTGGAAAGCAGAGCGAAGTGAAGAAATCGAAGAAAAACGAAGAAGGAAGTCTGTTTTCTTCACTCCTCTCTTTACTTTGCGCTGCGCGCTGGGACAGACTACAACGAATAAGCAAAAGACTGGCTTGTTGGCGGGTGATGTTTATAAAGTTCTTCAGCATGCACGAGGTTGTTGAAACAGCTACCACTCTCACCGCCAACAGTCTTAAACGGGACTCAACTCACCCGGATGATATAACCTACTTATAAAAAAGACTTCTTGGTTGTTTATATAATTTACATTGACCTTTTTTGCAGGTATACTGATAACAGTCACTGCACTTCACGTCATTCCACTTGTAGTTGTGTCCAATGCCAAGTGTATGCGCACAGTCTTCATCTCCAACATTATTTGGTTGGTTTTTGGCCCAAACTGTAAAGTTTCCTGCCCGGCTCCCTGCCCAGGTGAACGTTCCCTCTCTGGAAATGTCATTTAATCCCAGCCAGGACTTTGCTACATTGTGAAGACGTTGTATAAATACGTTTTCCTCATTACTGTTGACGCTGACGAGACTTGCGTTTTCCTGCCGGCAATTAGCCAGAGCTTCGGTCCAATTTGCGCACTTCTTGCTGACTGCATAGCAAGAGCTATTAAAGTAGCTCCAGCCAGGATCACAGATATCTATACGTGGTAAAAATATCAAAAACCCTAAAATCACTTTCGCGTTCGTGGATCCTTATGTCCTGGGCTTCGTCAGGTAAAAACGAGCATTTTGTTAGACCCCGTACACATTACATATTTTATACTACTACATGAGAAATTACTGCAATTTGATTGGCTTAGAGCAGTGGTATTTCAGCTTAATTTGAAATACCTACATGTGAAAATTACAAAACTTTTGTGGGTAGTAGTATAAACAAATAATAACATGATTTGCGCGTGGTATTTGGCAAAAATATCACTCGTGATTTTTCAAAATTGTCTCAAATTTCACTCACCTAACGGCTCGTGAAATTACGTATAACAATTTTGAAATATCACCCGTGGTATTTATACCAAATATCAATACAAATCATGCTATTACCTATACTAATTCCAGACGTAGTTAACCGATAAAAATCGATATCGAAAATCAATCGATAACTTTGATATTAATCGATTTATCCCGCCCATGAATATCGCTTGATATCGGAAATCGAAAAAAAAACGAAGTCACAGAATATAATAAGTATAGTAAGTATTGACAGTAATCGATAACAATCGATTAAAATATAATCATCAATTTCTATCGGAGAATCATCGATATTAATCGAAGGCAATCGAAAACTGTTTTTTCTTTATCGATTTCTATCGATCGATATCGGAAATCGATATTCATCTTTGATTGATATCAATTACTATCGATTAACTACGTCTGGGTGATTGTTTGTGAACACCTTCAGTCCGATCCTATGTATCACCCTAAGAGAAGTAATGGCCCTTGATCACCCTTAAACGATACGGCAGTTCAAAATTTATTCATAGAAATCTGAAATGTGAAGATTCATGTCCGAGCTTGTCTTTTGGGGTTCCGATATGGAAAGATTTACCCTTTGTAAGAGTGGTTCCCAAATAAAAACCCTCCCGCACCCTCCAGTGGCTCATATACGGGGTGGGGTCTTACAAAAGGCCTCTTTGGGACACAAATTTGCGGGCTTATATTCGAAGGGCTTATAAGTGACGTGGGGGCCTTTTTATGTTCGGAATTCTACGTCAGCTGGTATAAAATCCGCTTTCAATGTCTTTGTTAACGCGAAAACGGGAGATTAAACGTGCACATGTGCAGAGAGCCTACGAAAATACGACTGTTTGTATGTTTATCATTCGAAATAACTATCAGTTTAGAACAACTTTTCAGTATTTGCTAACCTGTAAGCACTGCATAACTCACTGACAAGGGATCATATCTGGTTGCAAACAACTCTTTGACACAGACTCTGAATCCAGAGGCATTCATGTTCTGAAAACAGAACAAAACAAAACATAGATACATAGACGTCAAGCGGCATTGTTCGAACTAAAACAAGCGGCGTTTGGCGGTGGACGAGTTCAGAAAAAGACAAGTGCTATATCTTTTCTCATTTATCACGTATATTTTATATCACGGTATCATCAGAAATTCGAACACTGCAACTGGAGCACACGAAAACAAAAAGACGACTGTCTAAGTGAGAGGCTGGAGCGGGTGAACAACTCCCTGCCGACAAAGCGAAGCGAGCTGTTGAGTTAGCTCCAGAGAAGGATTCATCAAATTGGCTGACCGTTATTCCTCTCAAACAGCTAGATTACAATCTGAATAAGAAGGAATTTAGAGATGCAATCAAGTTACGGTACGACTGGCAAAAACCGGACACGCCCATCCTAAGCAGATCTACAAGAAGCATGAGAACGAGAAGAAGAGACAGTATGCAGAAAGAGTAATGGAGATCGAACAGGGAACGTTCACTCCCGTAGTTTTCACGACCACAGGTGGAATGGCGTTTGAGTGTGTTAAGTACCAAAGCAGACTTGCGAAGCCGATCGCAAAAATGAAGGGAGAAAGTTACTGAAGCGCAATTTCCGGGATAAGAGCTAAAGTATCTTTCGCCATCGTACGCTCTACGATATTATGCTTGAGAGGCTCAGGATCTAGAAGACGACAGCTAGACTTTGTTGACTCAGATCTACAGATCGAAAATATTAGAGCCTGCCCGAATTAATCTTTTGTTAGGAACTTTTTAAAGAATTAGGAATTTAGACATACGAGATTTTATTCTTTTTAACTTGTTTCTTTTTTAAATGAGAGACGGATAATCTCTTTTGTAATGACTTAATTCAAAACTCTGGACTGCCTGCAAGAATTATTGATCGCATCAGAGCCGCAAGGAAAGTATTTTGGGAAATCGTTATCGGCACAGAGATTGTATTTTTATGATTTATATAATTCTTTTTTTTGTAAATTATGTACATACTTTTAAAGTTGAATAAAACTATTATTAATTAAAAATTATTATTATCATTAATATTATTATTAATATTATCATTATTAATATTATTATTAATAGCCATCAAAAGATGCAATCAGGGTGGTCAAAGAGAACATTAGTGTCATCAGCGAATAGAAGGGACTCAACGTTACTAAAACAATTAAGAAGATCGTTAATATAAAAGATTAAAAAGAGGGGTTCAGGTATGGAAACCTGGGGAAATCCAAATACTGCTGTCCTCTCTTCAGCTCTACTCTCAGTATTTTTATAGTCTACTGTACATATACCAATTGCAAATAAGTCTTCAAAAGATCAAGAAAAACTCCAGCCTAAAATTTATTTTCGCCAGTTGAAGGGCCAATCCATTTGACAAGATTAATTTTTGCATTTGACATGGAATGACCCTCAGGGATGCCAAATTGATTATCAAATGATACGCTGCTGTCCACTACATGCTTCAAAATTCGAATGCAAACAGCTCGTTTAAAATTAATTGGGAAATACTGAAAGGACCTAGAAAGGTTTTCTTAGAGACGGATCAGTCAAAAGGAAAACTGTTTTGATCCACTTTGCACTACTATTAATGATGATGATGATGATGATGATAATGATAATGATAATGATAATGATAATGATAATGATAATGATAATGATAATAAAAATAATAACAATAAATTCAATTACTTCTATCGCGCTATTTACATATAAATGAGGAAAATCTATTTACTAGCTGATAATCAATATGGAATATAAAATGCACTGGAATAAAAATAAATTTAACTAAATAATCTTCATGAGTAAACTTAATACAACACGAAAGCTCTAAAAAGCGTTTAAGTCTCGCTTACTTGGAGATAATATAAGAAATAAGGAGGCACTTAATTCTTAAGGAGTCTGTATCCGAGCGTGGAAGCAATAGGGACCATATGAGGAAGGAGAAACAAAAAAGATAGCTAGCTAGGTTACACAGAAACCATTGACTGACTTTGGTAAATACAATAATATAATGTTCGCACTACAAACCTGTTGTCCCGACACGAGCAGCCTGTGAACAGGCTCTCTGTTTGGGGAAGGAGTGAAAAAATCGCAAGGAGAGGGAAGGGAAAGGGTCTTTCCCTTCCCTCTCCTCCCTCTCATTGAATACCTTAACATGTGTTAAGGTATTTAATACTAGTAATAACTAAACGTTACGGAGTGCGGGCGACAACGATCGAAGGTCAAAACGGTTTTGCTCCAGCGCTGTGTTTTGCCTAAATTTCACGTGAAGAAAGTCAAAACACGCGTAATCAGACCACGAGTCATAGAAGGTTCAAACACTCGGGATCAAATTGCGTTACGGCATTCCAAACATTCTTAGTGGAAGTCCAAACGAATGCTGGCTACATACATGCGACGCATGCATCGTTCCTTTTGTCGCCCGCAATAACTTTTTATCAAACCACATGCACAGATTTTTACCGCACAAAGCCGCGCATGCACCGATGTCATATTCACCAAAAGCACGTACTACTTTGTGCGATATCAATTTTACCTAGTTCAGTTTTTGTCTTGTCCCTATCTACATAAATTTCGTTTTTATTAACCCTTCCTTTAACATCCAATTTCTTTGATTGTCAAGGCATCATTTCACAGCACTAATGGAAGTTTTCTGTAATGAGCTGCGGAAAGATCCGCTACCCTTGCAACTGACCTGAAATAGTGTCACACTAGAGCGATTTTTACCTCAATCCACGTGGAAATACCATTGTGAACTGGGGCTGAGTTCCCGGATACGTTTGTGCTGTGATTGGAAGCGATGAGCACTGTTGGAGTCGAGCTATAACTTCTTGTGAATAACACGAACTGAAAAACAAGAAATACTCGAAAACATTTAGCTAGAACGTTTCACCCCTTTCCTTCGCTAAAGTTTCACAAAACTGTGAGTAACGTTTGACGACCAATCGTGTAATAAAAGTGATACATATTAACTTTTTGTCTATTCTTACCTTGCAGTATGCATTATTATTTTCATCCAACGGTGGTGGGTTAGTGTTGTTGGTGCCTATAAAATCTATGCTGCCGTGCTCAAAAGACAGTGGCTTTTTCAGCGATTTAGAAAACGCAAACCAGTTCTGCAAACAAGATTTCTTGAAATTAGTGGTTGTTAGCTACACTGACTCTTTAAATATATTATCATCGTAGTTCAAACCTGTTATAATAATTGTTTTCAATACAGCAATTTTTCTTTATAAAATAACTAAGATAGTACGCGCGCTCTGATTGGCCGAGAGGAGTGTTTGCATGAGAGTATGTAAACATGGTTGTGGCGTCAAGTTGTTTGGTTTTTCGCGCGCTAATCACGCAAGCACAAATTTGAAAAAGTTTTCCAGTTCAAAACTCAAAAAGTTTACTTTATTTACCCATTCCTTCGTCGGCTGAAACTTGGAAAATCGTTGCAAAGAAGGTGTGTACA